AAAAGAAAAAGAAAAATACAGAGAAGTCAAAGCATTGTATTAGAAATAAGTATCATATGGCAATATAAAGTTGTGCTACAGAGAAGGCTCAAAACTACACAGTACTGACAGAAAATATACAGAAACCCAGACTTATCAATATTTTCAAAGTACAGATTTTGGAGTGTTCCAGTAATGTATTAGAGGCAAACTCAAAAGCTCAGGAAAACTTTCACATTCCCAGTAGCCACATTCCAGAAATCTCTGGAAACAAAAATCCATAAATATTAAGTTGTGCCAATAACAAAAAATCATACATATGTGAAAGCAAATGGAAAGCTGTCTATCGAGGGCTTCTAAAAGTTAGGCCCTGCAGAAGGTTGACCTTGGAGACCAAGTAATGCAGCCTGACCTCCTGCTATAGGTTAACTTCGTTACTTTCTTGTTCCCAGCTCCGACTAGATGTCACATGCAATAAAAGATCTCTAGACTGGGATAAAAGACCCATTAACAAAGAGATAAAAGACCCCTGGACTACTACATCCTTAAGGTGGAAGGTTATATATACCCTTCCAAAAGGAACACTGCCTATAACTCATTAAATTGCTGTAACTAGGAACTAGCCTTGTGTAGAAAACATCAAAATCCTATTAAGCTTCCTCAGACCTTTCCTATATAAATGACCCTATAATGACCCTCAAAACCTCTCCGCTTCAGAGCATTGACACTATCTTCTGGAGTCTAGACCATCCCAGCTGGCCATCCTCAAACTTTATGTTCAAATAAACAATATTTAATCATACTGCCTGAATCTCATTACTCAGTTTGACACAGAGAGAGGGATTTTCTCTTGTTTTGAAAGCACGGGCACATGAACTTGCATATATGCATGAACTGCTGCCCATAACTCACTGCTCCTCAATGCACTATAAACTCTGACAACTACAAATGCTAACAACCTATTGCACTACTAACATTAATTAATGCTTTTTAGATTAAGAGTTTTTTACCTTCTTCAACTTTTTGTTTTTATAACAACATCAGAGCCTCTACAAATCCAAAAGTGAAAGGGTTAAAATGAAATAAGCTTCCAAATCCTAGCAATTTTAGAGAGCAAAGTAACAAGACAGTAGCAGGAAGAAAATCCCAAGAACTAAATTTGTCAAAAATTTGAATGAAGACATATAAGGCAAGTATAGCCGGGTATGGTGGCTTACACCTATAATTCCAGTACTTCGGGAAGCCAAGGCAGGCAGATCACCTGAGGTCAGGAGTTCGAGACCAGCTTGACCAACATGGCAAAACCCTGTCTCTACCAAAAATACAAAAAAGAAGCCAGGTGCGGTGGTGCACATCCGTAGACCGAGGTCAGTCCAGGCTGCGGCAGGAGAATCGCTTAAGCCCGGGATGCAGAGGTGCAGGGAGGTGGTATTGCACCACTGCACTCCAGTCTGGGTGACAGTGTGAGACAGTTTCAAAAACAAAAAAAGTTACATAAGGCAGGTTTATCACAAATAGAGACAGCATGAAACTGAGAAGATCAGCAAACAGCGTATAAGCCAGAATCCCAAAAGGTCTCCAATTCTAATGAGGTATAATAAAAGATCCTATATTTTTTATCTCTATGACTAAACACATATAAAAGCTAACAGAAAGCTCAGTTAGTAATCAGTGTATTCGCTAAATAAAAAGCAAATGTCTGCACTGATAATATAATCAGCTGGGACAGGAAAAATGCAAGTAGACCTGGAGGAACGTGTAATATCAGAAAGTCAACCTGAAATAGTCTCCGTGGCTAAAGCTAAAACATGTGAACAAAATAAATAACATGGGATTATTACCCAAAGTATAAAATATACATGAAGCCATACTGACATAAATAAATTACTGAACAAATAAGCGAGACAAATCTTCCTGATAAAAGCATTCCAGGCTGGGCGCAGAGGCTCATGCCTGTAATCCCAGCACTCTGGGAGGCCGAGGCGGGCAGATCACAAGGTCAGAAGTTTGAGACCAGCCTGGCCAACATAGTGAAACCCTGTCTCTACCAAAAATATGAAAAATTAGCTGGGTGTGGTGGTGTGCGCCTATAATCCCAGCTACTTGGGAGGCTGAGGCAGGAGAATCGCGTGAACAAAGGAGGCAGAGGTTACAATGAGCTGAGATCAAGCCATTGCGCTCCGGCCCGAGCAACAGAGCAAGACTGTCTCAAAAAAAAAGGGAAAAAAAAAAAAAAAAAGAATCCTATTCTTCTTAGGTATAAATCTCAGATGCACATATAGTACATAAAGAGATACACAATACATTGGTGGTATTAAAATTCACAGGAGGGACAATTTTTAAAAATGTTTAAAAAGTCTCTATTCAAGGAGAAAGAAGGTTAGAAGAAGGTTAAGAAACCTAGGTAAGCTGGGCACAGTGGCTCATGCCTGTAATCCCAGCACTTTGGGAGGCTGAGGTGGGCAGAGAGCTTCAGGTCAGCAGTTCAAGACCAGCCTGACCAACAGGGCAAAACCCCATCTCTACTAAAAAAAATACAAAAATTAGCTGAGCATGGTGATGCACATCTGTAATCCCAGCTACTCGAGAGGCTGAGTCAGGAGTATCACTTGAACCTGGGAGGCAGAGGTTGCAAGTAAGGCAAGACTGCGTCACTGCATACCAGCCTGGGTGACAGACTGACACTGCGTCTCAAAAAAAAAAAAAGGAACCTAAGTGAAGATACTGAATATGTAGGAATGGAAATGGGGCAGTGTGACATTTTTAATTGAGCATCACCATCACCCTAAAATTCAGAACACATAATCTTTACCAATGGGAAATCTGAAACACCTCAACAGAAATTAGGCTTGGCTGCTGAGGCTTCTGTGGCATAAAGCTAGTACCTAAAATAAAGTGATTTTTAAAAATCTTTAGCCAGGCACGGTGGCTCACGCCTGTAATCCCAGCACTTTGGGAGGCCAAGGCAGGCAGAGGACAAGGTCAGGAGTTCAAGACTAGCCTGGCCAACATGGTGAAACCTCGTCTCTACTAAAAATACAAAAATTAGCTGGGCACGGTGGTGCACGTCTGTAATCCCAGCTACCCGGGAGGCTGAGAAGAGAATTGCTTGAACCAGGACCCGGGAGGCAGAGGTTACAGTAAGCTGAGATTGCGCCAAGGCACTCCAGCCTGGGCTACAGAGTGAGACTCTGTCCCAAAAGGAAAAAAAAAAACAAAAAAACTTAAGTTTCTTCTTATATTCACAAATAATTATTCAGAAATGCATAAGCATATCAAATATGTCAGTCATATGAATTGATTTTTAAAATTTATTTAATATTA